TTAATTATTTGCATAGAATCACGTATGCACGGTTTATACCAATGTTCCCTAAATCTACGAGATACGTTTTATATTCACTGCCGAAGACTGTCAATTTAATAAGCGATCGTACTTATAGATCTGAGAATTTCCCTTATTTTTTACATTGTACTTAAAGTCTAAACATTAATTTACGTAATTTATTTCGGTGTTTCTGATGACCACTTCATGTTTTTATACTATTTACTGATAAATATTTACTAGAGAATTTAATAAAATTTTTATAAATATGCTTATTGCAATCATTTTTAAAAGTTTACATTACTATCAAATATCGTAAAGATATAAATTGGTCAGGTGCTAATATTATAAATTTTGAGTAAGGTAAAATTATAGAAATGTATTTTAATCAATATATAATCTATCTAAGCATAATAGAAAAAAGTGGAAACTTTCCTCCCTTGTCAATTTTTAACCATAGTTTCAAATGGTTAGTTATCTTTTGATAACTGTGAAAAGAAAACAATGCATTTAAAAATAGATTTAGTGGTTGAAAGTACAAAGACTCGAAATATTAATTTATCGATATTTGACGAAATTGTTTAGAACGATTTGATGCCAAATTATAATTAGTGTACACATATATTATAATGTAACGGTTTACTAGGGATGTGCGATTTATTTTCTAGTTGATATATCTACAAATTAAAATAATTAAAATGAAAACTATCAAGTCATTGATTCCTGGTTCGACCTATTTATGTTGTTTGCGATAATTCGACTTTTTGTTGGGTTTCCACTGCCGTGACGCTTTGACAATATGTCAAGTGTCAAGGTATTCGCTACCTGACAGTAGCGACAGGTTCGACTCGAAATTCAGTTAGGATACATTCAGACAGACCGAAGACCAGATTTTTATCTCAAATAGAGCTTTATACCGTTAAGAAAAAAATGACGCGCAAAGCAATGTTAAACCTGGTTTCCATCGCATAAAGCACAGTTTGCGATATAAAATCGTTCCAGTATGTCTGAATGGACTGAAATCGTCACACTAAAATAGGTCCTAATTTTGAATCGTACATGCCCATCCCAAACCTGAATTTGGCGGTCGTAATTTTTATTGAAACACAATGCAATTTCCTGTCTGCGCTGTTGCGATACGCTTTTCGCCATTTTGTGCCTTTGTGGTGCTACCTAAATTTGGGAACGAATTTTTATGTAGTTATATATTGGTATATGTAATGCATATATAAGACTATTCATTTACATTATTGCATGAGTGATTAAAATATTGTTAGATTAGGTTATTGTTATAAATGTTCGTGCCTTATTGTGTAGTAATGTCTATTTTGAAGTAGCAAATCATGGTTTGTTCATGTATATGCAGAACGAATCATGATTTAAGGTCCGAATGTTCATTGTATGTTATACAATTATCGTTTTGGAATGTTATTTCCTTGTCCTAAATATTTCATAACTCATAGATTTAAGAAGTACATCTGTGGCTGTGGTAAATAATAGCTTATTTTAATCATGAGTAAGAAATCATAGTCATATTAATTTATACAATAAATTATTTCAGTGTATCAACTACTAAAATTGTTAAATTCTGTTAATTAAAATTCATTGTGTTTACCTTTGTAAAGCAAAAACAATCTTTTAAAAATAAACGTTTTGTCTATGACAGCTTAATATATTTCTATATCAACTTAATACCATTAACTTGCCACATTTAAACAGGGTATTTATAACGTCCTACTACACTTTTATAGTAATTTGAAAACAATACGGGTTACAATTTTACTATTTATACTAAAATTTAGTATACGTAGACTGATGATTTGAAATGTTTCAGAACGTAATTTATGTAATGTACGGTTGTTTTAAAACGAAAATGGAGTAGCCTCCGTATTTGTATATTTGCAATTTTGTCGGTACAATCGTTGATATAGATTTATCGAATTTTAATATTTTATTTATATTGACTATGATTTTTTTTGTATAAAAATTGTGAATGCCACAGTGCCATATGGTAGGAATGGATTTCATTGCTGTTGCAATGGTGTCGTGAGAATGGTTTTTATAGCTCCTAATTGGTAGCGAGACGAGAATAATTTCTCAAATTAAATTTATAATTAATTATAACACTTGTTGTTTACTTTGATGTTTTCTTTAACCTTTTTTTATAAATCCTTTAATTATTGTGGGAGTATAAAGGGTAAATCAAACGAAATACTGGCGCAAAAGATGTTATATTTGCATTTTATTTACAAAGAATAAATCTATGAGTTGGAGTTGGGTCCACGACGACGGCCGAAGGTTTGTACAACATTGACGAATCTGAAAAAAATCATTCAAAAATGTCACGAGATAGCAAATGAAGACGGAATTTGTAAAAATATCGTAATCCTAACTTTTTGGATTTTAAACATTATGAATTCTCAAATACTATTAGTTTCTATTATCTAAAACTAGATGGCGCTTATAATAATCACAGAAATCTGTAGCACCTTTAGAACATCCAACAAATGTTTTATCATTCATAATAATATATTCAGTTGTTTAGATTACAGGACAAAGTGTTTGTCCTCTAAAAATTTATTTTTATTCATATAAAATGTCATAAGAAATCAATTTTAATGATACTAATTACATTAAAACTTAGATGTATTTAGTATCACTGACATCCAACTTACTTTGCAGAAACGAAATAGTCAAATAGCCATAGTTACTAAGCACATGTCTTATAGGATGCATTACAAGATGTAACTCTTTGATCATCACTTTGTTACTCTAACAAAACAAAACTGACAGACTGGAAACAAGTAGTGTATAAAATAAACTTACCGTCTGTTGTACTGAATCCTACGCTTGGCACGGCCAGTCTTCTTCTTTTTCTTCTGCTGTTTCTCTACTTTGGGTGTCTGGCCCTTTACCTTACCTGAAAATAAAAAGAGACAAAATTATTAACATGTTTCAATCAGGCCATGTCGGATTATGTGTCCGACAAGCCATACTTCTATTCAACCTAGCTGTGGCTTTTTAATCGAATTGTTGTATTCAGTGTGACCCGCAAGGCCCCATTCAAATGGTTTTAGACAAAATGAAAAACATTTTTTTTTTCGTTTTTCATAAAATCATTCTGGCAGCCAACATGTTAAAAATATCCAAAATTTATTTATTCATAAATGGCACAGAATAAATACTCTAGTTCTTGATTTCAATCACTTGTATATGAATAACATGTAATGTTCAACATGAACTAAGGATAAAAGTGAGTTTTATTTTATATGTACAACATTGAAATTGTAATTTTAAAATATCTTGTCAGCTCAGAACATCATGTGTCACTGTGTAGAACACAATTTTAGATTAAGCTGTGCGTAAAGGGACTTGTGAGGATCCAGCACAGATCACCCAGGGCCACAAAAAGATTAAAATGGTTCATAGCAGTCTAGATTTGTCAAAACTTCAAAAATATCACTAGTTATAAAACTACAGAACCTCACTCACTCACACCTTTAGGCTACAGAGCTAGGTTTTGCCTTTTTCTTCGTCCATATAGAATTAAAAATATTAATCAGTAGCCTATGTTTTCTAGACTAAATTCTACTTCTTTGTCAACTTTCAGCAAGATCCATTTAGCTGTTCTAGAGACACCTAATAACAAGCATTGATTAATCCATCGAAACCTTCACATTTATTTTTACTTAGACAATACTTTGAAATTTATGTTGCAAGGGTACAAAAAAATTTAAATATGCTAGAAGGTACTTACCAGCACGAGCCAGGGATCCGTGCACTTTACCACCGAGCAGTGGGATTGTAAGGTCTAACTCCGCTGATGATAGATCTGACACAAGTGTAGCATCATCAAGGGGTGCACCGCATAGGGACAGAGTTAAGTCTTCATCCCCAACTGAAGCAAGATCGCGGATTCGCTCCTGAAAATTTTAAATGTTTTTTTACTTTTTTTAAATTGTTAATTAAGTTAATCTTATAATGCTGTACAAATTTAATAACGAAGATAAACATATGTTAAGAATACATGGAGTACACATTAGTTTGTTATTTAATACTTTTCTTCCGTCACAAGCAATCATGTGGCGGTACTTGTAATATATACTTAAAAGGTTTTTTGATAACAAATCAATAACAATAAACTATAGACTGAATCATTGATAACGATTATGATCAGAACTCACGTATAACACTTATTTCTAATAATAATGAAATTAAAAAAGATAGGTTAGTTTAGCAATGTTCGCGTCAAATACAAAATGCAGTAAAGAATATTCGGAAATGAATTACCTTGATCTGTGCAATTGTTTCTTGTCCGTGAACGTCCAAGACGTGCGTAGATTGTCCTCTGATGTGTAACTGCATCTTGAAAATCCTGCAAAAACACATTCATTGACGGCGTGGTCGAGACACAATACGACGGAATATTTCGACACATTACTAAAAACATAATCACCAAACAAACACTTCAAATTATTCGAAATAGAAAAATATCGTGTTAAATAACTTTAGAATAATGTTTTATGCAAAATTAATGAATAACATTTAGTTAACTAACCTGCCTGCGCAGTCTGACAAGAGAAAGAAACAATAATGGCAGAACGGAAACGGATATACCCCAACGTTCGTATATACACAGAATTACGTAGAATCACGAAAGTTTTTAATTTAAACACATTGTTAAATTTTAAAAATATATATCGCAAGACATTGCACATTTTAAGAAAAATATCATAAAGGTGATGAAATGGAAAAACATAAATTTATTGTCATTAAATGGATCATATTTTCTGTTGGTTTTTCATAGTAAAACAAAATCAAAACCATTCCTAAGCCCCAAAAAGATGGATGTGAACCTAGGACCAAGTATGCAAATACATTCTTAATCTGAGGGGGAACAATTTAGAAGTTTGAAATGAAATGAAATTAGCGTAAAATGAAACTGGTGAGTCATAAACTTATGTTGGCAACCATGCTATTCCACCCATTGCTTTTTGATTGGACAGTTAAAAAATGACAGCGCGACTGATGAATGGTCACACATTTTAGAAATAATCGTGTGACCTTATGTCATTTTGTATAAAATAGCGTAAAATGATCAAATAATATTAAATGGAATCTTGTCAGCTTCGAATATGCTATCGCGACTAATCCGTCAGATTTTGTTTGTTCTCGTGCATTTTGTTGTTAACGTACTTGTTGCAGTTCAAAATGTTTATCACCGGTTATGGGTTAGAAGATGTAAGGTTCTTGATGATGAGGTGACGAAAAATGATGTTATTATGATAATGGACAACGTACCTAAAATGAAGAAAAGTTTGAAGCATTTAGTAGTGCTTGTCGACACGAATCATCATTCTATGAGTGATTTAGCGCGTTTGGTGATTTGGAGTCTAATAACAGGAATACCTTACGTCAGTTTCCACGATATCACCGGTAAACAAATCCTTTTATACATATTATTATATATTACTTGTAGTTTTTACTATTAGCGTCTTTCGCTCATTGGTCGACCATAATTTATATTTAAAGATTTTTTTTAATTAAAAATAGCTATATACACTTCACCGCATTAAGTATAACCATGTAAAATTTCACGATCATCATTTATGTAATTTCTTTAAAAATTGGGGAGCAAACATTTCGCTTCAAATATTAATACAAGATAAGCAGTTGCCCAATGTTACATCAAAGAAATTAAGTAAGAAACTAATTTATAAATAATTTCTAGGTGACTTGAAACAAAATGAAGAAAAACTATTTCTGGCTATTGAAAAAAAGAAGAAAGGTATACCAGGTTGCATAAAATGGTCAAACAAACCAGACTTAAATGGCTACACTTACGGAATGAATGCAAATAATGTATTTATTAATATATTTAGTTATAAGGATGGAAGGCCACAAATAGTTGAGTGTGTAAGACAGATAGCTAAAGGGTGTATTAATTGTGAAAAGAAAACAAATGAATTTACAACTGAAGAGTTTGGAAAGGTGTTAACTCAAATGTACAATAATATTCCTGACCCAGATCTTGTTTTGTATACCGGACCTCATTGTTGCACTTATGGTCTGTTGCCATGGCAAATAAGACTTACAGAGTTCATTCAACTCTCCCTAGAGCATAGTGTAGATATTTCTAGCTATATAGGTGCATTATATAAATATAATAAATGTGATCAAAGATTTGGTAAGTAGCTAATTCTATATCACCCATGTATAAGGCAGGCCTAATTGTAAGTTGTAATTTATTGAAAAACTAAATGAATTTGTCATAGTATTTTGCTACTGCTTTTAAATTGAACACCATTAATTATTTCGTGATATATTAGAAATGTATGACAATGTAAATATTTACGTTATTCTAAATTAATGAGTGTTTCTTAAACAATGTACCTGTATGAATTGGTACGGTATATTGATTTTATTGTTCACTTTAATGAAAATTGTAAGGATTTTATTTTAGTTAAATTCCGTAATAATTGTTTGAAATGACTAAAAGACTGCATCATGGATTTTGTTTCTGATATATACAAGAGTCAGATCAATTATCTAATAATTATGATAAAATAAAGAAATCACAAAAAAATAGAACCATATTAAGTAAATGCGTACTTTACGTTTTTTTTTTTTGGTGGCTTCACTTTTCGAATGTCGAGTGTTTATGTTACAAATTTACATTGATAATAAGAACAAGCTAAAAAACCAGTAATAAAGCCATGTTAACTTTATTGATTTTTGTTGATATATATATATTTTTTTACATTGACTTCTAAGCAACTTGCTTGAAGTCTGATCAGTAACTAGAGATGATTTAAGCCACTATTACCGAAAATTACAAATATATAGTTTTTATTTACCTAATTGAATAAAAATAGTTAAAATAAAAAGCAATGATAATTATTATCAGTTATGTTTTTGTTTTTTTTAATCCTAATATGTGACATATTAATAAAATTGAAGTGTTTCTAATATAAAGAAAAAAAAATTGTCGTACACGTGATTGCATTGATATTATCAAAAAGAAAAAATATTTAGAAATTCACGTTTTAAACTTCACCGGTAGTATATTCAAAGGTTCATAGGTGGCATAACAATAAAGAAATGTTATATCAACATCGTTAGATAACATGATAATTGGAGAATGTTCCCAAAAACAGCGGACAGTGATTCGTCGTAGTTCTACGTAAGCGTCGCTCTGATTAGATAAGCGTTATGGAACCTAACAATGCAACTATATCCTGTCACAATGCAGTACGTAAATTTAAATAATATTTACGTAGTCGTCAGCTTTTACGCACTGAGGGCCTTAAACTTACTCTATAAAGAATGACTAGAGTTTATAACTGGTTTACATCATACGAGTACTGTAGGTCTGTAAAACTCAAAATTAGCGCTCGCATACAATTTGCATAATGTAATAACTGGAGCCAGTGATCGCACACAGTCCATTCCAGAACACGTGCTACTGTACTGGCATTAGTAGTGGTGGCTGTTCAAGAACCAGTCACAACTTATATTTGTATATCCAATTTTGTTGTAATAATAATATTAGTATCTATGTAGTAACTTTCGGTGGAAGTATATTTTTACTTTAGGAAAATAAAAAAAGATAGATATGGGACCGCAAGTTTTTATTGGAATAATGCGACGCCGTGATGTCATATCTCTTTTTAATATTATACACAAAACACTAAAATATATTTACATTTTGCGACGCAAACGTTACGACTGCTCTCCAACCTGCAAGAGAAAATACAAATAAAAATAATAATACAGCAATTTAATACTTTAAAGATGCCAAGAAATATAATTGAGTAACTTTAAAATGTTGCAAACTAAAATGAATCCGAAATATTTATAAAAACAGTACGTAGACGTTACGTTACAGCCACCCAATGACGTAATACTAAAATTCAGTAATATAAATATAATAAAAAATATTTTGTGATGTTTTAGATAAATAAGTACTTAAAATCGAGTACGGCAGTGAATGATTTCTTTTTAAAATTTTCAATGATTTTTATGTTATAACGTAAATAAACAAATGTAGAATATTAATTAAAATTTACAGACATATTGAAAATGCATGTACTTTACTGCGCGGTTGCCAAATACTTCTAGGACTTTCCTTGACGTAAACTTTGCAAAAATTAATTTTGCTTAAAACAAAAAGAAAAAGATTTATGTTTATCAAAAATTAAGTAATTTATATTCAAGTAACTTGGTACCTCGTGTACCGTACTTGGTACCGTGTAACTGAGTGCAAAAATTACAATTTCATAATGTAACAATTTTTTTAAATATTAAAATATAAATTTTATTTAATCTAATGTACAGTCAGTATACATAATATTAACATAATAAGAGTAGAAATTTTCCATACCGTATAAAAACGTAATTAAATATATCATAATTTGCCATAATCTTTTTTAAAAAACAGTGTGATTATTTTAATAATTTGCATATTTTAAAAGTAAATGTCGAATTTTACAGGTTTAAATTAAAACAGGAATCTAATTGCTACATTTTTTTTTATAAAAAATTATGTTAGTTTTTTTTTCAAACCAGATATTAATAATTACGTGTTTTAAAGTGTATTTAATCTGTAATTTCACTCCGATTCCGACGGGGGCGATGTTTAAATATGTTTTGTTTCAAATATATTTCTTGAATCTTTTTTGTCATTTGTAAAAGCGTAAACGCGCATTTTCAAGCCTTTAATTGTGACGTATTGTAAAATATTTCACACCTTATAATAAAATGGCATAATTCAAAAATATTAATAGTGCAAAGGGAAGGTACTTTATTACTTGATCCATTTAGTACCGTACTAAAATTGTCCTTTTAATTTAGTACGGGATCACACACATACAAAAGTTAAATGAAAATACAACCTGTCATGCCGTTACCCTGTTGTTCACCGGCGATGTCTGGATCGGCTTCTGCTTCTCGAACGCCTACGCTCATACCTATCGTGCTTCTCGTAGTCCCGACCAGACCTGTCGTGGTCTCGACCTGACCTGTCATGGTCCCGACCAGACCTGTCGTAGTCGCGACCCGATCTATCGTACGACCTGTCTCTGTCATGCGACTTCTTGTCGCGCCGCCGTTTTTCCTGTGATCGATCCCTGGACGCCTTCTTCCTACCCGACTTTGACTCGTAGCTTGTAGACCGTCTGGAACGTTTCCTCGTCCTGTCATGTCTCTCGTCCTCCGAGTCGACTCTGTATTTGTCTTTGTGTTTGTCGCTTCTCGATGATTTATGTCTGTCAGATTCTTTTTTTGTCTTTGATCGCGACTTGTACTTATCGTGGTCGTTGTGATTCGACTTTGAGTTCTTTTCGTCTGTCCTATGTGACCTCTTTGACGTTTGTTTGCTTGATTTCTTTTTAGAGTCAATATCGTTAGAGCTTGCCCGTTTACGTTTCTTAGTTTTTACGGGTTTGATGTCCACCTCGCTGTGTGAAGAAGTGCTACTGGTACTAGAGGATGAGTCTTCTGAATCACTGGAGGAACTAGAGCTGTCTGCGTCACTCGTCGCTTTCGCTCGTGGGCTCGGAGTTTGCTCCCATTTATTTATCTTTTTGACTTTCTCCTCCTGTATCGTACTCAACCTCCTCGCACTGTCAACTTTGTCGATAGATTTATTGTTATTTCTTTTATCTTTTGAGATCCGACGTTCCGGTCTCTTCTCTGGTGTATCCGTTTCTATAGGTGGGGGTGTCGCCGATGATCCTGAAATTGAATTTTAGTTAAAGACGTTTGAAATTACATTTTAAACGTTCACAAAAGTTACAATCATAGCAATTCATGTGGACGACTGTTAAATTTAGATAAGTATGTTTAACTTTTAATATACATATGAAAAGAGGCTGGTCATAAATTTTACTTGAGTTGCCTACGACTAATTATAATAGATTCTTACTCGATCTGGCGGGTCTATCAGGCGTGGTGACGGGCGTGGTGGGCTCCTCGGCGGTTTCGCGCAGCTCCGCGCGCCTCACCTCTGCCTCGATGTCTCGGGCCGTCCGCTCGAACTCTTGCTTTTTCCTCTTTATCATCTCCTATACGTCACAAATTAGGAATTTTACATTAATCACGTTAGGCTCGAGAAGGGAGAGGGGGTCTGAAAAAAATCATAATGAGATACCACGTATATTTGACGACTGATGTAGGAAAATTTAACAAATAAATAATCCAAGTGATTCAACGAGGTTTTATGTATTTAAAATTAAAGATAATATTTTAAACATTTTCAATATCGTTAGTTATAAATGCACTTGATATTAAGTTAAAATCTTACCATATGACCAGAGGAGGTAGGGTTTCAAAAAGTTGCTAAAACATCACGTGATTAATGACGAACCAAAATACCATCAACCTATGACAACTCTACACTCTTACATAGGAAAAAAAAGGAAAATTATAATCTCCAATTATATAATTATAACGTAAGTAATAAAGCAATTAGCAATTGTTCAGCTAAATTGAGAACTTCATAAGTATAATTTATTAAAATTTAATTGCGAATTTTCATTTTAATATATCTTTTACACACTGTATGAATAATTGTTTGATATAAGGAGCCTTGGTTTAAAAATCTATAGACTGCAAAGATGGTTCATAATCTTTCAAAAATTAACAAAATTTATGAACTCATTACGGTCTCACAAAACATTTGTATAATTACAAAATTAAAAATCAAGGTAGAATTATAAAATTGTTGCGTTTCAGCTCTAGAAGCAATGGTTACGTGGCATTGTTCCACATTTCAGTTGCACCTAATTTAGTTATAAGTAGTTGTTACCTGCAATTTTCTTAATTATTGCATTATTGTAGTTAGTATGTAATAATTTTCGCGAGTATGTATTCCCATTACCGGCTATTTCTGTTGAACCGATTTCGATACTTGAGATGCCATTAGATTTGTACATGCGAACATTATATATTTAAAATCGTTGAAAAAGGGATAATTTTGTATATTTTACGTTAATATTTAATTTCGAGTAGTTTGTTTGGCGTATAAAAAAGAATGAAAAATGTTGTTGTCGTCACTGTTTCCGTCCAAGTACGACTTTGAGGCCTTCAAGATTAAAATAAAAAAGCACTTATCAGGCTAGCGGGTACAATTTTTCAACCAACACATTTATCATCATGTGGGATCAAGCGCTAGATGATAGACTTTTTTAATTAACTATTACTAGGGATGCTTTAACTTTTATGTGAGCGTCGGTGGCTCAAGGGTTACGGATTAGGCTTGTAATCTGCAGGTCCTGGGTCAAATCCCGTCTTATATCAATATGTTTTTCAATTTTTGACTTACAAGTACATTTATCCGTCGTTGTTACGGTGAAGGAAAACATCGTGATGCAACCTGCACATATCTGTAAAGACATTCAAAGATATGTGTGAAGTCACCCCCTTAGGGTAGGCACAAAGCCCCTTAGTGAGGTTAATAATTAAATTGTTACCTGCAACTGTTGATCGGATATGTTGTTCTGGTCGTCTTCATCTGCACTTTCTCCGCTACTGCTATCGTACGCACCAAGCCCTGTATGGACGCCGCGATTACATTTAGTGGTAGGTTGGATTAATAAATGCCGTACACAATTCTATAGAAAAAAAAATACCCTCAAAAAACGGTTTCAATTTTTACAATTTTGGTTTCCCGTACTCAGAGACGTATTATGGTAACTTAAACAGCCTCTCATACTAATAATAATTATTGACAAATATATCATGAACAAAAAACATTAATTAATATAAAAATAGTAAATATCATTTTTTTTCTTTTTGACGTCATTGTAAGATTTTCCTGATTACTAAAACAACAAAAAAACAACAATGCTAATTAAAATTTATGACATATGTTTTGTTTTTCTTCCCATTTTACAATATGTAATTTCATGAACTAAATAATTATTTAACCGGAAAAGTAAAAAAAATAATCATTTTTTTTCTTTCTTATTATTTAAAAACATAACAAAAAGTACAACACAATTCGATGATTAAAACTTATAACATTAATTCTACTTTTTCTTGACAATTTCTTAGAAATATTTAATATCATAAATAGAAATAACAATAAGGTAGTAAAGAAATGAATTTACTTTTTTTTTGTAATTGTAAAATTACCCCATTAATAAAATAACAAAAAGTAAAACACGATTTGAAAATTAAAATTTATAAGATAAATTCTGTTTTTTCTTACCAATTCATTTTCCACTAAACATTATTTCATACACAACTTGTTTTTTTTTTTAAAGCACATTGTCAATATTATAGAAACATCATACTAGAACCGGCAGCTGAAATCAAAGATTTACGAAGCGTATATGGTGGTTGTGAGGATAAAATCCCCTTAACAAATATTTTTTTTAAACACATTAATATAAGTTGTCAATATTGTGTTTTTTTAACCACCATATACAGACGAAACTATCTGGCAAACTGATGACCAACGTCTCAGGAGTGAGAGTAGTTCGCGAGGTAATTATATTTCGGGTATGAGGGTAGTTTGAAAGGTGGTTGTGGGGAGTGAAGGTAGTTTTCGATGCAGTTATTTGCCGAAAGTGTGGGTAGTTTGCGAGGTAGTTGTATGTCGGGAGTGAGGGAAGCTTGTAAGGTAATTAAGAGAGGAGTTTGGATAGATGTTTTGCGTAGTAGTTGTTTGGCGGTGTTTGTAGTAGTGTAGTAGTTTGGGAGGTGGTCGAAGTCGGTACCGAGGGTAGTTTGCGAGGTAGTTGTTCGGGGGCGGGCGCGGGGCGGGACTTACCGAGACCACTGGCGATGGCGGCGAGCGCCTTGGACTTGCTCGCTTTCATGGCGTTGAGACGCGAAGCTTTTACCATATAAATAAAACCAACATTAATAACACACAAATGTATTCACTGAACGGGAAATGATGAACATCTGAAATAAGACTTTATTAGCGAAGATATATGACACAGTTTTACACATCACAGTTCTTCTTACATTTAATTCACATAAAGAGTCAGTGCACGGTAATGTCTCGATGTTTAGAGCAAAGTCTTGAGAGTGACCGTCGGGCCGTTGGATATAAGCCTATATGAGTTGAAATACCTTGTGCGGCGTTATATCTGGCCAATTCTTCCTGGCTCACCGTATGAATCTCCTGGTCGGTTACCTCCAGCAGGATTTCTGTTAGCGATCGTCGTACCGCGAACATCTGGTCAGGAATACATTTTATTTCAATTACATGGAAAATAATGGAAAAACTATACTTTCTACTACCGTTCTGTAGGAATCGCCAATTACAGGTTACTAAAGTTCTAGTAATAGTTTAAAAAGACTTGAACTTTATTTTTTGTCATTTACCAAGCAACGAAGGGATGTCAAATAACTAAACCAATCGCTTATATCCATCGTCGTTTTCTCCGCGTGTTGGGATGTAATTTGGGGGTAGCGTATTATATTAGGGGGTACGTAATACAAAAAATACTGGAAAACACTTCTCTAAGTAATAGAAACCTAAACAAAGAATTACAATGATTTAAGAAACATGTAATCGGATTGTATACACACAAGAAAATTATGAAGACTTTTGTATACTTACAACTTCCTGCATAATTTCCTCCTTACTCTTTTTTACTAACACAGATTTTCCCTCCTCCTCCACATCATCCGGCGTCTCCACCAGGCGATCCAAGCTCGGCTTCACTTCTTTCTTCTGACGATCTTCTTTCGACAGTTCTTCAGTCTCTGAGTCAGAGTCCTGGAAAAATAAATCAATTGTAATTAGGTTTGGGTAACAAAAATTTAAATTCCAATATTGTCAAGTGTTTTTTGTGTAATTGAAAAAGATACATACAAATTTGCTCTTAGCTGGTAACATTGGTTGTCCGCTTGCTTCTGCTTTCATCCTGGCAAGTTCTTCTTCTTCTAATCTCTTCTTCTCCCTCTCTGCTTCTTCTCTTGCTTTCTGCTCCTGTTCTCTTTCTATCGCCCTTTGCTTTTCTCTTTCCATTTTTTCTAAGCCTGGAAAAGAAATGTCATTTGTTTAGCTCACATCAAAAAATAACTCAGTAAGGCGCTGCTTTCACGATTAGTTCTAGTAGATAATTTAAATAAGGCACAGGAAAAGATATAAAAGCCATGACAAGCCAGTTATAGTTCGATAAGGATCTTGTGACCCATTTTTACTGCGAGATAGGTTTGTTGGTCTATGCCTTTAAAAAAAAAAAACCCTAGTTTTCATACAAAATATGTATACCATAATAACAAAAATCATAAAACTATGTTTTTATACTTATTATTACTCTTTCTCACTGTTATATTCTTTATAAATTAATTTATTTTATGTCTATGAATCGATGCCATTAAATTGTGTGTTATATGTAACTTATTACCTTCTCTGATCCAGGCAGGCAGCTGTCTTCTTTTAGCAGCATCAATAGTCATAGTAGTTCCGGGCATTGGCATAGTCATAGGATCTACTACAGTAGGTATTAGGTGAATTTTTTCTCTGCAACAATATACAGTACATTCTTTAAATAAAGCTTAAAATAAACAATAATAATTATTTTAATAAACTCTATAGTTTCAATAATTAACCTTTGAAATAATTTTCCATTTTTTAACGGAGAAAAGATTTATAACTATTTTTTAAGTAAAGAAGTCAGTCACAACAATGTAACAAATAAAAAATAATAAAATATCAACCTTGGTGGTCTGATATTCCGAGGAAGTAATGGTTTGGGTTCTGCATTTTTGATCTTAGATCTGTTCTCTCTATTCCTACTGTTACTTCTATTATTTGCTTGATCTCCTTGAGATGCTGTCCAATATCCATGCTGAAAAGTTGGAGTTGTCACTGCTGCTGTTGTGTATCTATGGTAAAGGAAAAGTGGCAATGATTAATCCAAATTTATCCTCTTGTGTGTGAAGCATACCAATTTGGAACGCTCGAATTTTTTTCTTGTCTGTGGGGCGTCCTGTTTCGGGACGATGACACACTGCGTTGACAGTGTTTAGTTTTGCGCGTATTTTGCGGTGTATATAGTGTTTACTCTTTTGCACTTAGGAAAATCGGAACCGTAAGTAATATTTAATCGTCCTATTCTAGGACTCTCCACAGACAGGGAGACTCCTGTCTGTAAGAGCGTTCTGTATTGGGACTCACAGATGGGCTGATTTTGACATTTTGACAGTAAACATAGGAAATGATATATTTCTATCTACTTCTATATGTTTAATTTGTAAATTAAATTTGATTATAAATTTGATTCATACAACTTCGTAAGGTCAATGCTAATCAAATGGATCAATATTTATATCAAATTAATTAATATTTGTAATACCAATCAATCATAATAATTGGTTACTATATGAACATTTATAAATGAATTTGATGTTGCTCACAACTCCGTCCGCATGGAATTAAAAAAAACTTAGTAACCTATGTGTTCTTCCAGACTGTGTTCTACATCTATGCCAAATATCAGCAAAATCCATTTACCAGGTCTGGATATACCTTGTAACAAACATCCATATCCATCTAAACAATCACATTTATAATATGAGTAAGTTAACTTTCTTACCCTGGGATATTTGCCGCATTCTCTGGTGGTACATTGTACCCATCCATCAGCGGTGGAATTGATATTGAGGGATCTGCAGCAATTTTAGAGTCATTTCCATCCCAACCCCACCCTTAAACATTGATTTAATATTTAGCATTCAATTAGTAATGTCTAGTGTTATAATCTTGCTAATTTATGAGTTCTATAAACTTAAGATGAGTAAATTCATTCAAAAGTAAAAAAAAAAAATGGCATAACTCCTGTTGCATTTACACCATTCAACGTGTCTAATAACGTTTAATGTGTCTAACGAAATTTGTGCATGCCTGTTATTGGCATACATATGTAAAATGTTTGTGTGATTTTTGTTTTTCTGCTATTTTTATATGTATGCTGTTGGCCTGTCTTAATAAATAAATAAATAAATAAATAAATAAATAAATAAATAGAATAATGCTGTCAACAGATATGTGCTGCAATTCAATAATTATTCATGTAAAAATATTAAATAAGGTCCAGGAAAAAGAAGACTAACTTGAATATAGCCGCCAATTCATTTTTGTCATTTTGTACTATGAGCACAGAAAATTAAATTTTTAGCAAAAATAAGCCATAAACAATTAAATTTTTAGTCTAATATCTCATATCATAAAGTCATAAAACCATTGAAAAAGATTTATATAGAATGAAATATCTTTTAGGTTTCTTATCAATTACAGCAGTTTACCTTTTCTTTTGTAAACATAAGACTAAACTCTATTGTTTCAATGACTAAGCTAAATGTGTTAAAACATTTGGTCTACTGTTGAATCATCTTAAAAATAATTTTTAGTTAAGTAGATTTACCAGAAATAACAAAAATACCAACCATTATGACATTTACTATGCTTTTTTGTTGCAATGGAACCTAATAAATATATTTTTTAACAGCACTTTTAAAATTTTATTGTACAATCTAGTGACTGCTTACAATATTGGTAGATAAATAAGTTATAAATTACGAGCTTGAACAATCTTACTGCACCTAAATTAAGATTTTCATTCATCTATAATTAGACCTGCTAAATATCTAATTCAATGACAATGATGTTCAAACTCAAAGTAACATTGATGTTATACAGAAGCAGTGAAACTGATTCTTACATACCCCATTGGTCCCAAGAATTACCCCATGAGTTTGTGGAAGCATTCCATGCAGCACCAGCTGGTGGTACACTTTCGCTGTTTGTGTCCGGATTTTCAACCTCCATTGGGGCCTCTCCGCCTTCTAAGTCTGGTTTTGGTGGCGGTTGAGGCACAGAAACAACAGCCTCCTTCATAGCAATCCATTGTTGTGCTAAAGTTGCCCAGTCTACTTGACTAGAATCAATATTTTGATATGCGGTAGGATTAAGTGCCCACTGCGTGGGATATGCGGGGTTCACCGCATCTTTGCCAGAAAACATTGTTGTCGAAATGTCCAGTCGGATTATGCTATTTTCTACTTTTCCATAAAACTACTAAATTTATTATCATTGGCACTTAATTACTTAAAAGGAATTTGTGGTTATAATTAAAGTAAAAAATATGTGGAAAAATTATAGCCTGGACCATTTGATTTAGCATAGACTAGACAACACAGCACTGCATAGCATAGACATATAGAAAAAGACTAAACGTCCCTTGGTGTTGCGATTTAACAAAAAATAAGGAATTAGAATTGAAGAAAGTAAAACACCACTTTTTATTTTATTTTATGTTGGATAAGCATAATGTATATGGATAAAACGTTTTTATGAATAATGCAGAATGTTGTCTTAAACATCTACTTGTGCTTTTTGACACTAGATGTCGCTACTTTCAAAAGTATCCGCCACTCCGTCTGTTAATTTATAGTGGCTTGGGAAATGTACTAATACATTTTTTACATAAAGTGTGCTTAATAAATAAAAATAACATTTATTCATTTCAACAATTTGTTTGCACATGCATTGGAAATAGGATTACTATTTGGGATTTTAAATGTTGGCAGGGTGTGCCACACAACATTGTAATTTTATTATTATATTTATCTAAAACAATATTATGTTTTATTGTTGCTAAAAAAATATTACTTGGGGTTTTAAAAATATCATATCTATAAATCGTATTTTTAAACTTTATTATAAACTAAGAAATAACATATAAACATTAGAAAAGAGGTTGTATTCGATTTATGTTTAATGTAAATTTGTATTGTAAATGACAACACTGGGGAAATTTACCAAAAGGCTTCGAAAGCTTTATAACATAGTTAGTTATGCGTTTAAACTTGAGTTATTAAAGAACCTTAAAGGTAGGTTACCCTACAAAAATGAAAACCGTCGATAAAATTACTCATATTTCGATCAGTATCATTATAACCATTTACGTTAAACTCGAAAAGTAGTAATTTGAAAGTTTAAAAAAATCTCACATATTATATCAAATCGAAGAAAGAAATATTTTAGACCGAAGCACTTGACCATATAGTTTTCATTTTAAATAGTACATACGCTTTTTTTGTAATCGGTCAATTGATTTAATTTTATCATTTAAAATCATTTATCATTCAAAGGGCCGAATGTATCTCTATGCATTTCTAATACTGAGTTTATTTCAGGTTCTAAGTGCAACTTTAGAAGACATTAAAGGAACACAATTACCGTGCTGTCTAAGTACGTATAAGCATAGCATTTCTTGTATCCTATATTTGTGTCAATGTTTTTCAGATAATATTACATTTAAGGCTATCCTTTGGGCCATATGGTGATATAATTTTACTTAAGCGATTTAAGTTTGCTTTCCTAAGTGTTGTTCCTAAATTGTTTATTATCATACTCATTACGACTGTGGGTTTTTATGCCCGAAACATTCATTTTGTTATTTGGTACAGGTGATTCAGCAATAGAAAGTCACAGATGATACCACAGCATGGGAGCAGTTTTTGTCTATATGTGGAAGAAGAAACGAGGTAGGTAAATCATATAGAATATTTATATGAAATTAATTTATTTATCGTATTACATTATTATACACACTTATCCATGTATCCTACCAACATACATAAAAACAGTCGACGTAACACGCAGTCGTAGACAACCTTCCTACGAAATTTTGACAGTGAGCTTCTTTTGTCACAACGTTTAGTGACCAAGTGTCACCTATTACTAATCTATCACTAGTTTCACTTAATAAGTCTTTATTTATATTAATCTAAACTAGCTTTAACTTAATGCTAATAACGGTTCTTCAATTTCGTGCTTTTGGTTGATATATTTCGAATTCGTTTTCTTCCACTGATCCTTTTTACTGACCATCTTTTGTTTTGTCGCTTCTAGTTTCGCCTTACTCTTTGAAATCTTAACTGGAATCTTTATATCATCTAATCGCTCTAAAGTTTCAATTATATTTCTTGGTTCAGATACAACATTCCTTGTTTCTTCGCTGATTTCATCCATCGTACCATTTTTATTGGCATATACTACGACATAATGGGAATATGCGGAATTTGATGGGGCATTAATATCGGCGAAATCTCTGAAGTTTGCAAACTGATCTTGGTTGTAATTCGGTTTAGGATTAGCGATGTAACCGACGCCGGTAGATGGTCTTCCGTGGCCATTGTTGTAATAAGAACTAAAGCTATCGCCGAAATCATGATCTTCGTCGTTCTGAGCGAAGAAGGTACCGCCTCTTATAATTCCAAAGTTTCCTGATCCGAGTACACTGGGACTCGTATCGATGAGTGGAGCAGAAGACACAGCGGATTGTTTACCAAAAGTTTCGACGTTCCTATTAAAACCTCCAAAAATGGGATAGTTTAGAAGCGATCTGAAGGAATTGGGTCTTTGACTGTAAGCTGCTTCTTGATTTCCAAAGCTCGCTCTATAATTATTTTGTTGTCGTGGCTCAAAAAGATTAGCAAAAGACGGGAAGAAATTTTGTGAATCGCCTACAACATCGATTGAGTGATCTGTTTCACTAGCAGCTTGGTGTTGGTCCTTTTCTGTTTCTCGGTAATGTTGTGGAGGGAGAACTGCTTTAGATATAATTTCTGATGATTCAGCTGCAAGGTCTTCTGCATCATCTGGAAATAAATAATATTATATATTAACGTTTTATACTACTTAGCTCTTACTTGAAACAAGAGTTTAAAGTATGCTCTCAACCAGTAAAGTAATTAAAGTACTAGTTAGAAAAATTCTATTATAGAAAATTACATTGTTATGAATTTATTAATCTTAAGTTTAAATTCTTTTAAAGGTAATCTAAATTTCAGTGTCATTTTTTGTTGTAACCTTGTAAACAATGAAGTTGTCTGCAGTTAGTCCGTTTTTAGATAACATCAAGTTTTGTTTAGTTTTTGATGGATTGTGTAACTTTGTCGAGGCTGGCTCAAACACTGGAAATAATTTATCACGGCTTTGACCCGCTGGCGGATAGAAGCCGGTTTAACGAATTTACCTAACAAGTAGATTGGATGCATTTTTGTCATTTTATTCAAATTCTAGACTTAACTTAGTTGACTTTTCGCATTCATGTTCCTAGGCAGATAATACGTATAATGGTCTTCTATAGTACAGAAATAACACATAGAAAATATTTGTTGTTAGTTAGTTTAGAAGTATAAAAGATTCTTTGAGTATTTTTATGCAATACTATTGATTCTTCGCGCTGCAATTAAAATTATCCAAGCGATGACAAGTACGAACTTTGAGTGCTTTGTTTACTAAACTAACTACAAACTACTTCTAACTAACAAACTTTAATAAAATATTCTACGCTGTTTTATAACAAAAACACAATTATTTCCTAACAGTTCACGTTCGCTAGGAATTAGAAACACCTGGTAACGGTCATATGTGTCAAAGCGAAAAAACAATTTATCATATTAGCATATAGTCAATGATATATCAAATATGTAAATTAGTTTACGGAAATTACAAAAGAAATAATGGATTGTGCCTCCGTTTGGAGATAATGACCTAACACTCAATATATTTTTTTAATCTTTTCCCTGTATCTGGCAATGTACTTACGTCCATAAGCTATGAGTCCAAGATCAAAAGTTTTCGAACACTAACTTAATTAATTAAATAACAAAAACCGTTTTGTAGTAATGTTTAAATAAATCTTTCACCATAATCTTATTAATATTAACTATTGCATACCGAAAATATGTGAAGATATATTAGATTAACCTCACTAACCTCACACATTCTGTCATAATCGTTCCACAAAACTAAACATTTTTCATCGAAAAGAAAAACGTAGATGCGTTTCGAAATGATGTCATGTCATAGGTCAGGAGAAAGTTAAGCTCAGTAGTTAATGAAACTATATTTCTTCGATGTGTTTCCGACATAAAATATGGCGACATAATTGCCCGACATAATTTTTATTTTGTAACATAGACTGGATGTTGTCACAACTTAATAACGTAGTGAAGTACATAGATAACATTGTACTTATATTATTATTATTATTGCTGGATTTACCAACTCATTATCCTCCATGAGAAGCGAATGTATCACGAGTTATCCTATGTTTCTGCCTTACGAAATTACGATCGTCACATCATATCCCTAATTCATTTCTCTATTCTTAAAGAGAACTTCTATCGGTCTTCTAAATTGCCATACTCATGTAACATGCGACACCGATTTCTATTCATATTAATTGTTTTCGATCCTGTTACCTTTTACTTATACTAGTATAAAGTCTTCTTTAGGAGCAGGGTCAAAAACAATTACTAAACTGGAAAGATTCGATTCTTTCTTTGTTTGCATTGAATTACTCCGAAGCTACTGAACCAAATAGAAATATTATCTCACTGTTGGGAAGCTATACTATCTAGTTTTTTTGGCCGTTATAGATCTAATAGCCAATTAACACCATGTATTGCCACATTATAGCTTTCCTGTATTACTCAATGCTATTGTAGTTATAGACAGAAGTCATAAAAATTATATTATTAATAAATCACAAAGTCCATTTGGGTAAAAACTTTAGGAGGTTCCGGTTATGTGATCGAAACAATTCAATGTGTTATGAGGGAAAGCTAATGTTTGACCAAATTTGTTACAAAAATGACCTCGATTTTTAATGATCATTATACAAGTCGTAACACATTATTAACTTTGGTTACGTAATGTTTTTGTTTTTTGTATTTGGCTGTCGGTCATGGGCAAAATGACCGATTTGCAATCCGTTCCGCGATTGTCTATCAGTGGGATGAAATTTATTAATTGTGCCTTCTTTCTATTAAATATACATAATATTCATTATATATACAAACAGAAATGACTAAATCGTATGATAAAAGTATAATTATATGTTAATTAATTCATTAGCTTCAATAAAAGACAAAAGACATGCACATAAATAATTCTTTTATATAATACAATGTAAAATAGTTTTATCGATGTGTATGTCAAATAAAATTGTACTTAAATGGAATATTAATCTGTTTACTGTTAGGTTACTGCTAATTTACAACGATTTTGTATTACTTATTATTATAATGTACTTGTGCAAATATTATAATACAAATATAGACAATAATAATAAAAATAAGAAATCCTTTTTGTGTCGTAATATTTAATATAATATTTTATTGAACTTTATTAGCATT